TAAAAAAGTTGACACGTGGGTCAATGAAGATATGAGATAAGTGGCTTGAAATGGATTAGAAGGAGCTTTCAATACATGAATCACGTTTGGTGTTTCCGAACTTGTGGCTATGAACAAGTGGGTGTACCACCAAACAACCTGTGAAACCAAAATCTTCGGGTGTGGATCAGTTTTGGTCTTCCAGATGCTTCGCACCAACACACCTCTGCACCCCATTTTCTTGGTCTTAACTAATTATATATAGTATCTTTTAAAGGGTAGAGATTTGGATATAGATCTAGTTGCATTCAATGGTCTAAAATATATGTCAAAGTGGATGGTTTTAGGAGAAAATTATAATAATGGTTCTTCAACTTTAACACATCAAAACGTGAATTATGATTTTTTTTTTCGTCAACTCCATTATAGTTTTGTCAAAATGAGTCATGTTGAAATGATCATTGCTACAATTAAGTTAAAATTAGAGATATACTATAGTTTTGGTTTCATTTTGATTTTTATTCTTTCAGAATTAGAGATATACTATAATGGCATGTGAATGAGAGTAGAAAAAAATTTTGTGTGTGCAAAATTATATTATTGTCCATAATTTTATTTGATGATAAAATACCAAATTGTCTTTTCACCTTCTTGTTCATAGCTTGGGGTATCTTGTTCTTGAATTTGTTATTAAAATCATGTTTATACAAGCTTGTGTTACAAGGAGATAATATTGAACAAGATACCCCAAGCAAATCAGTGGCGAATCTAGGATTTTAATATCGGGTTGTCCCAATATTCAAGCTAAAAAAAAAAGATGAAAATACCAATGAAATATTAAACGATAAATTACAACTTTTTATTCATAATTTTTATACAAACAACAATTTAGTTTAACATTTTCCATCTTTTTTTAACAAGATTACTAATTCCTTGCGATTAAGAAAAGTTATTTCTCAAACAAATAGAATAAATATAAATATCAAATTGATCTTGAAATGCCTAATTGTTGATCTTGAAGTGTTGATAGGTACATGAAGTTTGGGGAAGAGATTGGTGGTGTTCTGATGATGGTGGACTTCGATTGGGTGGAGTGGGATTTAGGAAATGGAGGATTAGGGAGTTAATTTGGGTGGGGTGGACTTTCTTAGAAAGTCGAATCTTTGTTTTTTTTAATAAAAAATGGTGAGGCTATCAGCCTCCCACACGACCTAGGTGGTGTTGTCATACAACACATCAATGCTCACCGTTTTACTTAAAAACTCACATGGCCTAGATAGCACATGATTTAGGATGTTTTTTTTAATAGAAATTGATCGTCTTCTTTTCTCCTTCTGGTTTGTAAAAAGCCAGAACATTGCGGCCGCTGCTCTTCTCCTCTGCCACAAGGCCCACAACTTGGGTGTCCTCCGAAGTTCTCACAGGCAATTATCCAAGCTTCCGGGTGGTCCTAGGACCACCTAGATCCCTTAATAGATCCGCCCCTAGAGCAAATAAGGTGACAAATTCGTAACTTTCATCATCATTCACTTTCTTTTATTTAGAAAGACATGTTACAAAAAGATTGATAATCAAGAAGTTTAGTATCCATAAAAAAAAAAAAAAAAAAAAAAAAAAAAAAAAAAAGTTTAGTATGTATCACAGTTTATTATCAAGTATTACAAATTTAAAAAACTTCTAGAGGCAAAAAGTATAAACTAAAACAACATACCTTTAAGGGCGCGTAGCGCCTGTGATTATAAAAAAAAAGCCTCAAATTAATTAAAGGATAGTTTAGATATGAAGTGGCAATGGCATGAAAATAAAAACAGTACTCAAACTTTTATCATAAAAAAAAATTTTAATTGAAAATATTTTCACAAAATAATATTAGGTTAAACATTTGAAAACATCTCCTGCCTTCCTCTCTGAATGTCATCGTTACTCTTCTTCCATGCTCGAGTGAAAGAAGAAAAACAGGAAGAAAAAAATTAAGTTTTATGATAGGAAAACAATCTGCCAATCATCCATGGAGTTATCTCTCTCAACCGAACCTGTTTTTTGGGTTGAATGATTAGATTTTGTTGACCCAAAAAATTTAAGTACATTTTAACTGATCAATCTTGATATGTATTCCTTGACACTTCAATTAATAATTATGTCGCCACTTAATATTACAATCTGGTAATATTTTTCTTCATTTGTAAGTGAGAGGTTTTAGGTTCGATTCTCATCAAAGACGAATTTGAACTACGTTATTACTAGCCCATTGCGAGACATATCCCACTCCTAATGTAGATAACACCGTTTGTTAAAAAATAATAATAATTATGTCATGGTCAAGAAAATTTCTTTGTCAATCTAAGAATGTGTTGATATCAAAGGGTAATTTCTATTTCATATAATTATCTTATGAAAACTGCTGCCAAGTGTTAATGTCATGGCTAATTATTTTTCATGTACGTTATTTAGTGCTACGATTTAATGATATTTTTTTACTAGTAAGTGAGGGGTATTTGGTTCGATTCTTATCAAATGCGAATTTAAACCACATTATTGCTAACCACAAAGATATCATTTGTTAAAAAAAAATAAAAAAATTATCATGTACATCTGCTCTTATCATCTTGAATTTCAAACTTTAAACTATGTTATTTAGAATTTCAGACTAGGGTAATTATATAATACAGGAAGAAGAAGATGGAGGGCGGATTCGTTTCCTTTCTTTTTACAGCTTTTATTTCTCTTCAAGTTTTAATTCTATTTCAGTTTTACTTCAAAAAAAAAAAAAAATCATCAGAAAAAAAAAAATCTATTTTCTTTATTTAAAACCCTTGGATGTTATGCAATCTAAGGTTGAAATAGAATGTAGAAATATTTGTAAAAAAAAAAACTGTCTCTGGATCCTAATCCCTTTTTTTTGATAAAACATTAACATTCATTCAACTGAAAGAAGGGTTACTAGGGCTATCCCCAAAGGAAGGCAAAAACCGAACGCACATTGAGAAAATCCAAATGCACAAAGAGCCCAACCCAATAAGAACAAAAAAAATAAAAATAAAAAATAAAAGAACCCTAATTCCTATCCCCAAATGCAGACTTCAACTACCGCCACCACCACATGCCTTGCCGGCAATCACACTAGAGAAAACAACCAAGTGGTCATTTCGACCAAGACGTTGCAACACAAAAGTTACAAACCCGCAACCAAAAGTAGACCACAATCAGAATTCGTCACCAGGAAAGCCGAACCAAGAGATAGTCATCAGATCCAAATAGCCTTCACTGACCCCTGCAAATATATACAAATACAGTAACAGATGGACGAGGGGTGAGGCTAAAGGGATGTGTGAAATCAACTACCCCTATTCGGGCGAAGTCGTGAAGAGTAGACAAACAAGAATCATGTATGCATGTTGGGGGTGGGGGCATGGGGCGGGGGGTGGCTTTTATTTATGAGAAATTATCTCGAGAAAAAAAAAAACATTTTGCATTCCCTTCAACACATTTTCTCTTTTGTGTATTTACATATTCGAAATGCATGATAACATTTTTACCGTATAAAAAAACAACTCCTTATTTGTTTAATGTGTATATATTTACCAACATATTCAAAAGTTTGTCAAAATTGATTAGCACAAACTCTTCTCTCTCAACATTTCAGCTTTTCTTTGGTTTTTTTACTTTTGAATTAAAGGAAAACTAATGAAAAGGGCTTGAAAACTTTGAGTTTTAATGATAAGGACAAAATAAAGAGTAAAATGAATAGTACCATGATTGACTTTTTAGTGTAAAAATGTGGTTTTTCGTTAAAGTGAACAGTACCGGGTGCTTTTCGTTAAAGTTCCCTTTTATTAATCCCTTGTATAACATTTCCTTGGTGGCGACTTGGCCGTGCGATGCTCATATTTGAGTAATTAATCATCTTACTTTGTTTCCTTCTTCTCTTCAATCCAATCCTTCCCATAAAATCTTAATTTTTTTAATTCCCATCTAGTATTACTCTGCTCTTGGAAGATTTTATTGCTATCACACAGTAGAAGACCATAATTTTCCCAGATTCACCCCAAATTTAGATGGCGTTCGTGGATGAAGTTACTTCATGTCGTGGTGCAATTTTTCTTCAATACTCTAGACCGTTTAGTAGTACGGAAAATAAACGATCATGATTGAATTCAAGAACTATTATTTTTTCTTATTTGCCAATCTAATGAATATAAAACCGGACTATCCAATAATTAGGACCACTGAAGACTAACCCATGGCGATGACCGTTATGCTTGTTAGAGTTTTAGTTAGTTTTGGGCTGTCTGGGCTTGACTTGATATAAAACTTAATCATGGTGATGTGAGTTTTTTAATTGTTTGTGTAGCTTTTCTACGTTGTAATTTATGTGAATTTTGTTGTATTGCGTACATTTTCAATGCATTGTAGTTTAACTATATTCGTTAAAACTGCAATAGTATATTAAAAATGTTCTGGCATGGTCCATGAAAGCAAGACCACATATCTACTTCCATTAATGGGTAGTGGAAGGATTTAATTTCAAGTGAAAATTGAAGTGGAGCCACCATGAGAAACACATTCCATAAATAGTAATGAAATCAAGGAAAATGAAATTTCATTCCAAAAATCTATTCATTCCATGAATAGTAATGAAACCATGAGAAGTGTTATTGGCATTTCAAAAATCTCATTCTATACTTCTAACAAGTATATTTTTCTTTCTCAATGTAGAAAATTTAAAGTGTAAAATGAGATTTTTGAAATGGGTGTGCTATCCACACATCCTATTTTACTTCTCACACACCTCTTGATAATTTATGTCCGTTGATCTTCTTTAATTCATCCGATCAGACGGTCGAAAATTAAAAAATGATGTGAGAAGTAAAATAGAATGTGTGAATATCACACATCTTTTTGAAATGCTAATAACAATTCGCAATTAAAAAACAAAAACCAAATTGTCATACACGTCAACGTCACGTTTGCAGAGTAAGTACCAGCCGCCCACTATCTATATATAAAGTGACTCCATTTTCTCCTCCCTCCCTCACCCCCTTTTGTCCTTTGTCCGTCTCTGAGGAAACCAGAAAATCAATGGCTTTCTGGAGGAGGAAGGAGGGATGAGAACAAGTGGGAAGACAGTATGCGAACGCTTTGTGATGTGTGCGAGAGCGCCGCTGCCATCCTCTTCTGCGCGGCCGACGAGGCCGCCCTCTGCCGTTCCTGCGACGAAAAGGTTCTTCATTTCTTCTTTTCCTTTGCCTTTATTTATATGCAAACATTGACTTTTAGTTGTATAGTCCTTCCAATGATCTTAGCACTGAAAGTTTGCAATTTTTTGGGAATTTGGGTTTTGCAGGTCTGTTTTCTGGTTGTTAATCTTGATTTTGATTATTGCAAGCTAAATCACAGGTTGTTGGGTTTTTTGGACAAGCGGAATATTCTACACTAATCTACACTAATGGGGAGGGGGTAGGGTTTTGAACTCGGGACGTAGTGGGTGGAAGAGGAAAGCCTAACCACCAGGGCAATCCACCACTTTGGCTATTGTGATATATTGTTGCCTGACAAATCACAACGTATTCAGCATGATTGGGCTTACTGGTTGTACTTGTCGGGCGAGTATACGATGTTTCGTATCAAATTATGAGCACCCAGATGCTGTTAGAGTCATACTATACTTTTTGGATTTGTGGAAGTGAGATAGGTTAACTTAATCAACAGTTCATATTAGTCATGAATTTTGAGATGTTTGGTTAGAGAAGTGATTGGTGATGGCTTGCTATCTGAATGTAGCATGGTTCGAATATCATGTGTTATACACAAGTCTAGTGTGCTTCTTTATGTTGAAGTTTTGCTGCCATTTGTGTTTATGGAAATCATCACTACCGAACATTTGTCGTGCTTATTTAAATTCTTAGCCCTTTCTCTCTTTGCCTTTATAGCTCTCCTGTCAAATTATAGTAGAGGCATGATTTTGTTCTCTGTGTTGGAATTGCAGGTCCATCTGTGTAATAAACTTGCCAATAGACATGTACGGGTTGGGATAGCCACACCTAGTGATGTTCCTTGCTGTGATATTTGCGAAAATGCACCTGGTATGCTAGACTTCAATGTTTTAAAATTTTAGTTTTTGTGAGCTATATTAAACTTATGTAGAAGGATTTTGAAGACTTATTTTCCCTTGGAAAACATACATGTAGCGTTCTTTTACTGTGAGGTAGATGGTAGTTCTCTTTGCCTGCAGTGTGATATGATTGTACATGTCGGTGGGAAAAGAACCCACGGGAGGTATCTCCTCTTCAGACAGAGAGTTGAGGTTTGTCTCTCTGCTGGAGAGTTCCGGTTAAGGTTTTATATATAGACCTCCAGAGATTAATTTATTTTCTCTCTTGGGGCGTTTCTCTATAGTTTCCAGGGAATAAGCTTGGCCGTTCAGAGGAACTAGGGCTTCAACCACTTGACCAAAAGAAGGTACAAAGGGACCAAAATCAGCAGCCTGATTTAAAAACAGGAGAGAATCAACATAATCACAATGTCTCTCCAACTGCAGTCCTATACAACAATATTGATGGTGACTACAAAATGGACAATACACCCATTGATCTTAATAGCAGGCCCCAAAGAATACGCGGTCAAGCTTCAACTAACCAGGTATATCTATATATATATCCCCATGTTGATTTTACTAGCTGGTTCTGGTTCTTTAAAAAGGCATATTCTTGTCTTCTTAGTAACAAGGCATTCTTTGTCTTCTGAACATGCATTTTGACGTGCAGTTTGAATGTTGTGAACTGTAGTTCTGTTCCTTTAATTATTTGCACATTATAAGCATTCTGGTTAATCAAAACAATATTTATCTGGCTGTCGTATTTAGGAACAGGGTGTGGGTGTTCTAAATGGTGTGAATGATGAATCTGCAAGTGTCGTTCCTGTTCAATCCTTCAGAAAGTAGCCTGGAAAGTGAGTAAGGTACATTTGGCATATCTCATTGTCCTCATTTATTTGTTTTATGTTTTCAAGATCTTCTTGTATGAAGTTAAATTGTTGCTTTTAGCTCAGGAAAATTCTCTAGCATGACTTTGATATGTTTAAATTCAGAGAAGAAAAGGATTACTCAGATCAATGGTTTGCACATGCTTTTGTAAAATACATGGGTATTTGCATTAGATTTTTGCTTTCAAAATGCTAGAAAATGAGTGAAACCTTTCTTATATTGGGTCACTAACAAGGAGGGATTTTTTTATACCAGGCCCAAAGAACCATACTTTTGGTTACCATACTTTTCACTCTTGAATGCAACATAAACAAGTGTGGGCATGTGTTCTTGGACTTGAGTCAATAAACTAAAGTGATGTAAACTGTTTTCTCTAGGTACCCAACTACCCATCCATTTATGCCAACAGCAGTCCATATTTGGTTTTGAGCAACTTTAATTGCTAGCAGAAAATGTTACAATTAAGGCTTACAAAGCTGCAATTTCTCTTGGTAATGCATTTTTTTCCCAAAGAACTTGGATGATAAGTTTGAACTCAGACGGATGGTTGACATTATAAGGAAATTGCACCCGTTATGCATTTGTGGGAAGGGCAGGGTTCCATATAATCAAATGACATAAAAATAAAAAATAAAAAGTAACAAATTGGCAATAGTTTTCTAAGCAAGCACATAAGTTGGTGTTAATTAGATAGGTGAGCCCTAACCCGTGTGCCGCTGTATGCTTCACCTGGAAGATTCACCTATAAGATGTGACAATAATGAATCCGTGATGACATAACATATGTATAGGTCATCTGTTAGCTGTCAAAAGGTCAGCTTAATAAGGGAACCCAGAGGAGACTTTATTTACATCTGACTGCTAGTAGTCTGGTTTGATAGAAAAGAATTTTCTCAAACACATAGGCTTTATGAATGAATCATGTATCTCTCTTTGAATTGTCGTTTTTGTGCGGATTTTTTTTCTTCATTTCAACTATGATGTGAGACTCATGGTATATCTTTGAATTCAAACTGAATATGAGTGGTCGCCTTCTCCCTCCACTTTGCATATTAGCCTTACTGTCTTTAAAGGTTTGGTAGAAATAAAGAGGTGGAGATTGTATTGGCTTCCCATTATACTGTTTCCTTGATCAAAGAAAAGATAAGTCGGGGGAGAAAATTAGTTACTCAGTTTATCTTCAAAGGTTTGAATATGCTGTATATGTTTCGTTACTTGTTTTGAAATTGGTTGAGTGTAGACATAAACAACTTGTTTAAGATTCCCATCTATTTGTATTTCTGTTTTCTGTCTGGTCATGTTTTTGAACTAACGAGATTACCTTTGTTCTTCCTCATCGTTGTCCGAGAATTTTACTAACCCTTCTCTTCCTCTACATTGTGGCTGCAGATGTTCTGGACAAATTACCGTTGCAGAATCTTGATTGTTGACCTGTGCACTTGTATTCTTACTTGTACCTTTTCCGTTTTCTTTGGATCAGCATCAGTCTCTCACGTTCGTTGTGCAAAGTAGATTAGATGAAGAAAATCTCTACCTTTGTATTATTGAAAGCAATGTGTATCGCTTGAAAGACAGAAAAGTGAGTTATTAGTACAGTTTGTTCAATGTTTATGTTATCGAAATACAATACCGTTGTTGACATTGGTCTTGCGCTGCGATGACATTTTTAAAATTCTGAGGAAGAAAATGTGAACCAACTTCAAATGAATTTGGATGCTTTTCCCAAAACTCGTGATTTGGCTTTCAAATGAGAAATTAATCAGGATTACTAAATCTATGTTAGCTTCTTACCAGAGTGCTTGTACACAAAGGCGATCCAAGGAGGGAGAGAAACTTTCCTGCAGCACCCGTTGCATGAAATGGGCGTCTCACATTCTCTACATCATGTGCTACCATACAACCATGAATGCGGGGCACCCGTTTCATGCAACATGTGCAAAAAACGTTTTCTCCTGAGAGCCCAAGTTGAAGGCTTATCCTGAGAAACACATGGCGGGGATGTATCCTATGATGTGGTCTAATGATTCGAACTAGGTTATCTTGGTAGATTATGATGTAGTCTAATGATTCGACTATTTATCTTAGTGAATTAGAGTGGGAGAAATCACTGAAAAATTCGAGCTTTTTTCGGGGTTGAGTTTAATTTATGAACTGAATATGCAAATCACAAGCATTGTAATATCTGATTGAATAACTACCGGCTAACTCTCTCATCACCAAGAAGTTTATTAACTTGCTAAAAGGTGCATAAAATGTTCAACAAAAATAGTCTTTCATGGCTATAAAGCATTACACACATTAGAGATGCATGTCTGGTTCCTCCATTAACATCAACATCATCATCTTCCCTTTGTTCTTCATCATCTACAGCGTCGGTACAAATTACTTAGTACACATAGCCCTTGACAAACAATTCCTTCTTTGCCTCCTCTGACTCTCCCTCTCCGGTGTACTTGCCCAGCTGTGCAAGTGAGTTGGCCTTGGCACGGATGAGCAGAGCATCCTGAGCTGCCTTCACGTTCTCCGGTCTGCCTCCCCATGTCTTCAGGCAGGTATTTTGGAGAGCTCTGGCGTAGGAGAAGGACACGTGCCATGGGTTTGGTGATTGGTTCATCGCATTCAAGTTCAGGGTTGCCTCAACTTCAGATTGTCCACCAGACAAAAACTGCTCAACAAAACACAATTCCAACATCAGTACATAATATATTCTCATCACAGAAACACTTAATTAGCGTCAAGTTTTTCAAACACTTGCCATGATTCCGGGGACAGCTGGGGGGATTCTCCTGTGGAGGAGCTTGAGGGTGTAGTCAGCAACCTGTTGAGGGGTGGCTCTTTCCTTGGCCTCAGCACCAGGAGTAACCATGCTTGGCTTGAGGAGGATACCCTCGAACAAGACGTTGTTCTCAGCTAGGTAGAAGAAAACCTCGGCCCAGACCTTCAAGGCCACTTCGAAAGTCCTTTCAATGGTGTGTTCACCATCAAGCAAGATCTCTGGCTCGACAATTGGGACCAACCCGCTGTCCTAAAGAATCAAGAAGCAAACACTTTCTCAATTAGAAACACATCCTAACTAGACACAAAACAAAACCCTGTGGTCTAAGTAGCAACTTAATAGCAATTAGTCAATCAATTTGAAATCATAACTTGCATAGGATATCAGTTCTCTTACTTGAGCAATGGAAGCGTAGCGGGCAAGACCCCATGCTGCTTCCTTTACTGCAAGAGCTGATGGGCCATTGGGGATGCTCACAACGGTACGCCTAGTTCATCAGAGTTGGTAATTATGTTACATTTGATTGTCATCGATCTACCTTAATGAGCAAGAATATAATTACCAACATAACATGGAGATTACAGGTTTGATCCTTACCATTTGGCGAAACGAGCTCCCTGCTGGTAGTAGGCAGCTGTGCGAGAGGCAAGACCGTCAAGACCTTGGCACCATGACTCATCGTTGGAACCCGTTAGGGGCACCAAACCCTGTTGTTATAATCAGAACATTTAGCTACCATAAGTTTTATGTACTAATACTATGCTTACATTAAAGTAATGCTTGCTTTGGTATGTAAATTTTTACGTTTCAGTCACTTACCTTGTCGACTTTAATCCCAGGGACGATGCCTTGCTCAACGAGCACATCAACGATCTTTTTTCCATCAACGGTGGATTGGTAGAGAGTCTCCTCGAAGAGAATGGCACCTGAGACGTACTGGCCAAGGCCAGGGGCAGTCACAAGGAGGGTACGGTAGGCTTGGCGGTTGGCCTCAGTGTTCTCTAACCCGATTGAGGCAAGACGCTTGCCACAAGTTGCATTGGACTCGTCCATGGCCAAGATTCCACGGCCTGGGGATGCAACAGTTTTCTATACCCAAAACAAAAACCACACCTCATCAAATTCAGACCTCAACAGGCAAAGGTGCAATTTAAAGATAAACTTTTCGTGACTAAAACAGTTTAGTATGTTACGTTATCAGACTATCAACTTGTACCGCATGTTCAAACAAAAATCTACCTTATCAATAGATAATAGTTCAGATTACGAGTCTAGAAACGTGTCGAACTGTTTTAACAAGATAACATTTCAAGATTTTTAGATTTTCTTGCGTATATATTCTAGAGAGAATAATGATATTGTACAAATTTTATAGTAACTAAAATGTTGTAAAACTTACAGCAGTCTTAACAAGCTCATCAGCATAGGAACCGGCACGAATGGTTAGACCAGACGGGGCAGTGGGGAGGCATCTGACGACCGAAGAGGCGGAAGGCTGGCGGAGGGTCTGACCCTTCACCCACTCAGATTTGTCGAGAACCGGAGAAGACTTGAGGAGAGATGCAGAAGCCATTGTTAGCTACAAAGAGTGGCAGCCTAGTGAGAGAGCAAAGTTTAATATAATCTTATCTCCTCTGGCAAAGCTCTCTTGCTCTTTGCCACACATGCACTCACTCTCTATATTTATAACTGTTGTGTGTAAAAAAGATGTCAAATTTGAGGCTGTTGTGCTCCGGCCAATCCCGGCCCGCCGTGTGGATGATAACCTGCTGACTTGGCCGGCTGCGTGCGTGGTTCAGACACGAGGGTTTTTTCTCACCTTGTAAAAAACAGCCATCATATCTCTCCCTTTTTTTTCAGTTGAGCAAACAGACAAAAGCATGACGCTCACAATGTGAGGCGTCCAAAACAGACTCGTCTCAAGAGATTCCTCCCTCCAAAGGGGAAGCAAATATGAGGTTGTTATGGTATGATCTCTCTTGCTTGTCATTCCCCTTTCTTACTGACTAATGGCTACGGTTTAACGTAAGGCTCGACGAGACGGGAATCCCACGTGGACGGTGGACAACACTACGGGTCAGCTTCTCCGATCGTTCTGGTGATTTTCCCCGCCACATAGACCACGGCGATAGGTTGGTTTAATTTAATGGGTCTCACCAAGTAGCAGATTCATGATTTGCACAAGCAGTGTTTCGGTGAAACTGTGAAACAACGGGAAGTCGATTATTAACACCACAACGAATAACGAAATCCTAATATACATAAGATGTTTAACAAGAGTTTAGATCCAAAGATAGATCTGCAATCCCAGAAACCAGATCATCGACCGAATCTACTTTCATACTTTTCCATACATCAGAATCATCAAAAGTTGATGCGACCGGTTGAGGCAAACTTTCTTCGAGGGCCTTGGTCAACTGCTTTACCAGGTCGTCTTCCTCCGCAGGAACATCCAAATCCCAAACCCTGAAAATATCCTTTGTTGACGGCTCCATCTCAGATAACGAAGAGCTGATATCGGCTCCTAACTCAGGGTTTTCGGTCATTCTCGGGTCATCTTTGTAACCTGGCAAAAATGGATTTCCCGTAAAAGTTGATGACTGCAAATTATTCGTATCCTCATCGGTTGGCATGTCACCATCATCATCTTCATCACTTCTTTCTGCTTCTTCACCAATACCAAGAACAGCATTTCGGATTCTTCTTCGGAGTTGTTCTGTTTCTGCCCTCTCACGAGAAGGAAGTACCTCAATGTCGGTTCCCCCGGGTAAACCATCAGTTACAAGTGCGGAAGAGCTGAGTGATTCGGGTGGCTGGGAATTAAGGATTTCTTTTAAGGCACCTTTCAGAGAATCCCAGTTGTCATCGAAAACGTCAAATTCATTAATCAGGCACGAATCAACCCAAGCATTGTCTTCTGGAGAAAGTACCTCGCCTTTCTTAATAGACTCTAGGGAATCCATGATAAGAGACTGAATAGTGCCTTCCCTCACTTCATCTCCAACATCCATAGCTACAATTTAATGGGAACAGTAAGTAGAAATAAGTACAAGCCATGCTTTTTCAAATACAAAACAATTTATGCTGACAAGTGATTGTGATTAAATTCTGTCATTATACACGTTCAATTTAAAGTTCACATACAAATTTCATGTCCCTTTTCCATTCTGACATGAAAACTTAGAGCAAAAGAAAAAATCCCAAAAATAAAAATGTAAGAGCCCCCGCGCAAAAAGCTGAATACAAAAAAAAAAACCTAGCTTCCAATCATTTTGGAAGAACATCAGTATGCTGGTCAGACATCATCGGAAACAGCCTTTTTGGACCATACCTGAGAAACCTAACATGGCTTCATTCATGATATTCACATATTCATGTAATACCGAAAAAAATACAATCAATATAACAGACATGAAAGTTCATACTAATACTGGAACAAAAGGCCAACAGATTCCGGAAACAGCTATTAACGACGAATACAATAGAATGGTAGTGCACACAACATGCCTTGACCAATCTTCTGTTTCTTTTAGCTGATCCATATTTGTGGTTTGTCCAAGGGTTTCTTTTGAGTAAATTCAAGCTTCAAAATGCAAGTTCCAATAAAGTAAGGGGAACTAAACAAACCAAGCAAGAAGGCGAATGGAGTTTTCTACATTAGAAGCCAATTCCCCTGAAAATTCGACCTTGGAGTAAACTACTCGCGTTTTGCAAGAATGTCTAACTGTACCAGTAAAACACAAAAAGTCTCCAAATGATTACACTCGATAATCTATGCATTGATCAAACCCCAATTTGTCCCGATGGAAATTTTTATCATTTTATGTCTAAGCCTCGATCAGTTACAAAATTTCCTCTCATCACCTAAGTTTCCCCTATAAATTAATGCTCCATTACAAAACAAAGCGAGACGAAGGTTTTTCAAACATTTCAATGAAAACTACCAAAACGAAAACAATCAACGCAAAACATTCCCACATAGACAATCATTTTACATAAATACACACAGGAATATACTGCAACATATCATTTTCTACTTTACATATGACTACTGTTTTCTGCACTAAGTAATACAGATTTCAAATTAAAAAGCTTTAGGTTTTCATTCCACAGGAAGTAGAGTTTGAAGTTTCAGATGCTTATCCACAATTAAAATGAAATAAAATAGCAAAATTGAACATAAACCCTAAACCCTTTTCAGATTCAAAAAATAAGAAAAACCGTAAACTCACAGGAACGTGAAATTAATAAACGACGAAGATGGAGTAAAATTTGGGGGTTGAGGAGCGTACCTTGTGCCATTGTGAACCCTAATTTTGATAGGGGAGAAGAAACAGACGGAATCTGTGGAAGGAAGAAGACGACCCAAGAAACGAATAACGATTCGTACGAATTACAAGTCTATCGGATTTGGTTTCATTCACTTTTTCATTTACCGGGATTTCCTACGTTGTTTTACTTATACCCGGACAAAAGTTATTGGGAGTGTTCCTCAAAAAAAAAAAAAGACAAAATTTGTTGGGAGCCACGTCATACACATGTCCAGCTTTGCAGCTGTTTGGATCAACTTACCCCTTAGTTGATCTAAATCAAAATTTTTAGGTATTTGATTACTGATTGTAAAGAGGAACTCACAATTTTTCTAATTTTTTATGTGTTAGTGACGAGATATGAAAAAAATTGATAAGTAAAATGATTTTCATACCTATATTTTAATAAACGTAAAGGACTCGATAATAAAGTGAATTCAATTCTTAACATTCAATTGTAAGGATGAGTGCAGACTATTTGCTGGTTTGGTTTGGTTTTGACGACTAAAATAAAAGTCAAACGGTCCAAAAACTGAATTGAACCGTAATAAATTTGTTTGGTTGCACATTAGAGCTTTCGCAAACCCATTTAAACTGAACTGGATCACACTTTCATATTGATATTTAAATGATTTTGTTTTACACACGTAGTCTTTGTATTGGCTAAAAAGTAAAGATGTTGAACTTGAAGGTTTATGGAACATTGAAGATCTTTGAGTTGTAATTGTATTGGTTACTAAGCTCTAAGTTTGATGGTATAGGTTGATTTGATTCGCTAGAAGAAAAAAATGTAGCCAACTATTGAATTTTTGTTATTGTAATTGAGCTTAAAAAGTTGGAAATAAAAATGAAAAAGAGAAAATAAATGAGTTTAAGTCCAAGCTATCTGAACCAAATCAAATCAAATTGTTCAATCTTGGTTTGTTTGGTTTGGTTTCCTTAGTAATTTTAGTCAAAACTGAAACCGAATCAGATTGCTCTATTGTAAATGGTTTGGTTATGATTTTGGAGTGAAACCGATCCAACCTAAACTACGCCCATCCCTACCCTATTATAAATCATTTATGAAAAAGACATTTGAAAAGAGGTTTAATTGAGTTTTAAAAGAGTGGTGAAGTTTCGAGTTTTTCGGTTTGCATTTCTAAAAGAAACTTGGTTGAAATTTGAATTTTTTTAAAGTTAAAATGTTTGTAAAAATAATTTAAAATGGTAAGTATCAAATGCATCCTCAAAACCCAACTTTTAGCTGATAATTTTTATCGACAACCTAATTGTTGGAGTAGCTCCCTCGAGGCATCCGACTACGGTGAAAGTTGGTTGAAGAGTGGAGTTAGCTGCTACTTAAGAAAATGAGTAAATTATAGTTATAATCCTTTAACTTTAATTCAGTTGGAGTAATGGTCACTCAACTAAAAATTCATTACCATTGGTCTTTCAACTCATCAAAACGTGCAACTATAGTCCCTTAAATAAAAATTCATTACCATTGGTCTCTCAACTCATCAAAACGTGCAACTATAGTCCCTTAAATAAAAATTCATTACCATTGGTCTCTCAACTTTAATTCAACTGGAGAAATAGTCTCTTAACTTTAACCTAATTATAGCAATGGTCTTTCCAACATAACTCGTTTTGACAAAAATTTTTATGTAGTTGACGAAAACGATCATAATTACACACTTTGATGAGTTGAGGGACCTTAATTATATAAATGATTATTCTAACATAATTTATTTTGACAAAATTTTGACGAAATTGATGAAAAAGACTATAGCTACACATTTTGATAAGTTGAGGGACCAATGGTGATGGATTTTTAGTTGAGAGATCATTGCTCCAATTTGATTAAAGTTGAAGGAACATTGCTACAATTTACTTTAAGAAAATTTCCGATTTCATTGGGAGGAGTTGCACTGCGGAGATTGTGCTAAGAGATCATGGACCGTTCAGATGGTATGTGGTGGGGGCTTGGCTTAGATGATGGTTTTCATCAAGGTAGGGATTATTAAGAATCTCATACAATCGTCTCACATCAGAGAAGTGATTGATCGTAGATAGATGATTTTTTCAATTGTATCTAGATTTTTTGAGATAAACCGTACACTTTGATAGGCTCATTGGACTCAACACCCTCAACGAACCTAAGTGATTCAGTTGAAGATAACACCGGTACAACTCCGAGATACCTCAAGGATGTGGGTCAAAACAATAGTATGGTTTAACCAGCTAAACTGTTGGTTGAGCAGGCTTAAAGTGGCCTGGGCGCACCTAGCCTAAAAGACAATGACTTAACCGAAGCCAAAGACAAGTGATAAGTGGGTTGGTCTGGTTTTGCCAAAGAAGTGTTGATAAATTTTG